GTTTTAGAGGTTCTTGCTGCCTCCTTTATCTCCTCAAGAAAACAACAATCTTCAATAGATTTTTACGAAACTCCGAGTAAACATGATGCATCTGCTGGCCACCTCACTTTCATTTTCTCCGTTCCCTCTCATGACGACTTTTCATCGTACATAATTAGAGTGTTATAAAAATGTACACGAATCGCACAAAGGAGATCTGCGGTCCGCGGTTTGATAAATCCTGATCTACACCAAAGAGAAACAGATTGATGGAGCAGTGACGCATGTGATCTCATCGAACGTGGTTGTCTTAGTTTTAGTCTTCTCTTTAAATCCATGGGGCAGACGCCTTGTTGAGAACCAAGCAAACAGTCTCTCAGCTATTCACGAAATTCCCCGCCTTTTTTTGAAGCAAAAGGTTCATTACCGTGTTCACAAAAGTTAGCTACTGAACCGTATCCTGAATCAGATCCATCTATTCCACATCTTCCTACTTTTCTTGATCCATTTCAATATAATCCTACTATCTACGCCTAGGTCTTCCAAGTCGCCTCTTCCCTTCACGTTTTCTGAACAATTTTGTACGTTTTCTCATCTCTCCTTCGTCTCCATTTCATCCTCATCGACTTCATTATTCTAATAGAATTTGGCGAAGAGTATAAATTATGAAGCTCCGCATTGTATGATTTGAGGTTTTCACAGCGGTGAGTATGAAGATTTCTGTTTTCTGGGTTGTTTCGCCGTGTAGTCTGGTCGATGTTAACCAACGTTTCAGAGGTCATACTGAATCGCCCTGATGATGGAGGCAGTATGACCTCTGAAACGTTGGTTAACATCTATCGGACTACACAGCCCAACAACCCAGAAGACAGAAATCTTCAAGCTCCGCATTCTTTTCCAGAGGTAACTATGGAGACACAGCTGATTGTGTTTAGTTTAAGCCTTATAATTACTGACATAGACCGTCTCTCTCTTTCTTTCTCTCTCTCTCTCTACGCAGATAGAAAAAATTAAAGGAAATTAATGGTCATAGATTCCTTCCCAGTGACTGCTGTTTAGCCCTCGTCCTTTCTTGGCTAATTTTGGGGTCAATATCTTTGAACAGAAGTAGGTCATTACCTTCCCATTTATTTCCTGTGTCTTTCACTTTCTAACAGGAAGTCTGTCGTCCACAAGATGGCACTGATGTCGCTTCGTTTCGCGTGTTCTTCTTGTTTTATAAAATATGCAGACACATGCCGCCAAAACCATTTGGATTTCGAAAATGGATCAGCAATCTTTAATCTGACTACGAAGAAGATACTGAACTATGATTTGTATGTATTCGACACTTCTTAATAATGGTAAAATTCAATTGTTTCTTTTTCTTATTTGGTATACATCGCCATGAAGGTCATTCCGTTGTTTTTGCGTTCAGCTGTCAAGTCTCACGGACATGTTTGAACCTCCTATAGGTATAGGTCTACATTATGATAAACAAAAAGTGAAATTACGTATCTGTACTAGTGAGGATCCTGCTGTTATGAGAGTAGCCCTGAAATGCGATACCGTCGCGTCATTTAACATAGCCCTTGAAGCTTTTAACTGGTGTTTGTGTATTAACCAGTAATGTCATCCGATCATGCCATCGGTCGCCTTTAAACGATGTTGTTAAGGGTATCTATGTGGCGCCGAGACGTCCACAATAACTTGTGTGTAATCAAAATTCATTCAAGCGTACAGCAGATTATCTGTCGCATCTCATTAAACTGACGTTAAAATTAATAACATGACATCAAATAATTATTTGAAAGAAAATGTCCACAGCAAGTTACACCGTTATTATATTTGCAGTTCACACGGTTTTCTCCCAGTCCCATACGCGCTACCTGGTGTTGCAGAGTTATTTACTTTCAGTTAGAGACGTCGTGATTTGCGTTTGAATGTGTATGCGTGAAGAGAACGCTATCATCTTCCGTCAGTGTTACTACCAATTGGCAATTCAAATTCTCCCTTCGTCAATTCCTTTACAAAGAATAAGGATCGTTTAAAATAGTTTTTCGTGTGACGTTAAGGTAAAGACTGCAAAGCTCTTCAAGCCGACTGACAACGGACAAGGCGGCTGAGATTCGATTCTAGGCAAGGATATTTATGTACATGCATCACGCCCTAGCAGGCTCTGGGGAACATTATTCACAAGCAGTTGGTACTGGGGGCTCTTTCCTCGCGGCGAAATCAGATTCAGCTGGGATCTGATCGCTCACATTCATCTTGTGCCGAGCTTAAGAATGAGTGGAGATTTATCTCTGGTCTACTGTACCTCTTCATGGAGTGATACTTCCACGTCGGGGCAATTTTACACTAAACTCCATTGATTTCCATTGCCGTGTTCACAAAAGCAAGTCCCTTGACTTTTCCTGGAACAGACCATCCCAGCCCATGGCTCCAAAAGCTCTTTAGGCCTATTTAGATTCCTTTTAATATTATTCTTTATCATACGTTACGAAACCAAATTGATTTCATCCCTCGAGTTCCCGACTATTGGTTTTACTCGGTACTTCCAAGTAAATTCGGGGATAGCAGTGTTAATTAGGCTACGACTGCTTCCTTATGGATCCTTTCCAATTCATTAGTCATAAATTATCCTATCATTGTAAGACTTGAGGTTCTCACAGCGGTGAGTATGAAGATTTCCGTCTTCTGGGTTGTTGCGCTGTGTAGTCTGGTCGATGTTAACCAACGTTTCAGAGGTCATACTGCCTCCGTCATCAGGGCGATGACGGAGACAGTATGACCACTGAAATGTTGGTTAATATCGACCAGACTACACAGCGCAACAACCCAGAAGACGGAAATCTTTATCCTATCATTCGTTTCCACATAATTCGAACTATTTACAGAGTTGTTAAATATACCACACACATGAATAAACTGTTTTAGGGGAGAGTTCAATGGCTGGCTTTTGTGAACATGGTAGGATTTTACTCGATTAGCTGAGTTACTGTGAGCATTTCAAGGAAGACTGCAACATGGGATTGGTACAGAACCCAGGACATATACACAATTTAAAATTGCGTTTTTCCCTTGGAAGATGGCCATGTAGTATACAGAAAGGGCACATTTTCTGATCTGAGAACAGAGAATTTCATGGAGCCATGCACGTGTTCAACCAGACGTGACGTTGGTTTCCCCTTTCCTCTGGCCATGAAACAGCGAGAACGTGACGTAACAGACACAGAAGAAAGCCAGCCGGTAACAAGAGAACAGCTGCAGCTTGAAACTGCGAGTGCAAAGCACAGAGTCAAGGTCAGCAGGATGACCTGCACTAATTCAGTGTTTCTCATCCTGTGTGTCGCGACTTGAGTCTGCAATACCACGTTCGCTTCTCCTCCTTGGGTCTCAAACCTTGAGCCATGATCGCCTAGATCGGTAATGAGATAAAAATGTATAAAAATTCCAGATGAATGATCTGTGCCTGCCATTCTGTACTGCCACATGCAACTACTCCAGTGACCGCGAGAGGTATGAACTTTTCTTCGCTGACCAATTTAAATTCAAGAATCGAAATCAAATCGAGATTAAAACCACCATTAAAACTGAGTGGTTAATTTTTCGTACCGGTACGTCAGTATTTGGAGACTTACTAAAATGATTACTATAAATATTAAAGAGCTTTAGACTTTGAAGAATCTTCTTCAAGTCTCTCTTCAAACGCGTTTTCTACGATTTTGCGGCGCTCAATGATAGCAAGGGTCACACATTCTAGATACAAATCCGTGTCAACACATCCGATCAATATTACAGATATTGCGCCGCAGATGGTCATAAATTCTGCTGTTGACAGAGCTAATAAGGCGTAAAGGTAATTGCACTGCAGAGAAGCAACATCAGTTTGTTCCATGTGATTAGTTACATACACACACTCCGAATAAAAGTTAATAAACTTTAATGAGATATACATTTTATTTTATGCATTAATTTTATCTATTGTAGAGTTTTCTTTTTCTTTTTACAAACCTGGCTTTATGTGAGTGTCATTTAAAGTAGGCCTATAGGTTATAGTGAAATGATACAGACAAAAATTAAATCTGCCCTATAACTTTAGTATAGACTCCTAAGATCACATTGAAATTAAATTTATATGAATAGTTGGAAGATGGAACCCAGCTGGACAAGAGAATACATATCCCGATGTTACCTTCATTTAATACACGTCGTGCAAAGTGGACCTAACATCATATTTTCAAAGAGTGAATTGTGCTCGTCATTCTCAGATGTCTCATCTTTAACGACGATCCTTGCACTATATACGTACAAAAGAGTGGAATGGCAGGGTGGCCGTGAATATGGTTTATCTTAGTGCAGTATCTCAGTATCTGGTGAAAGTGAAGGAAACTATGAGACCTTTAAACTGATACATATTCTTGGTCACTTACCTTCGTCATCGTCCCCTGCCTACAAACACAACGTCAAGGAAGTTGGCCTCATTTCCGTCATCAGGTAAAAGTATAAGATCTAACCTCTTAGGACTGTAGGAAGTAGCTAATCTCGATTTCCGGATTAGCTTGTTTCTCTGCACTCAACATATTACATTTTATACTTTTACCTGATGACGAATGCAGAGTCAGTTTCCGAAACGTTTTATATCTGAGGGGACCCCCCCCCCCCCCCCCCCCCGTGAAGGCAGCACTGTACAATGTGCTTGAGGGACCCCCCCCCCCCCCCCCCCCGGCTAAGAAAAGCTATACAAAGGATAATGTAATACACCTTCGTCTCAAAACCTCGGACCAATCTTACGAAAACTTTAGTCAGGTTATCAAGACCCCCAAAGCCGTGACTTTCTGAATACGATGCAGGAGTCCACATGTTTCTTGGGTTTGCGTTTGATGTTTCAAACAGAGTTTGTTCATCGCGAGGCTGAACTCGTCAGAGCGGGTACAATCGTTCGGTACTGGACGGCAAGCAACTGGGATTTCGATCGCCCCATGGCGCTCAGTCTCACAATAAACGAAGATCCTGTATTTGATCTCTTTCTGTTTCAGTTTACAGGAGGAAACTAAGCCGTGGCTTGAGTCGACAGGAAATCATGACATACAACTAGCGAAACCGAAGACGTATGAAGTTGTGTCAAGTCGCATTTCCGTCGTTTACAAACCAACCACTCAGGAAACACCACCCGTTCTACCTCAGGTGATTAATAGCGTATTTTTTTTATAAAACAAGAGTATAAAATTTTACTCCACTTCATGAACCAGGTCTCCAAACGCGCTCTTTGTGATTGGTTAATCTGAATATTTTTATTGCACATTTAGATTTGTTCCTTCAGTGCTAATGAACAGTACAGAAACCACACTGCCTAGTCATAAATTCTGTTCTTTATGAGTCTACTAAACATCAGTCATTGCATTTCACAGAGACGTGGGTCTACATCACATCATCAAAATGCCAGGTTTTTGCTGTTCAGGTTTCAGACTTCTCAAACAGAGAGCAGAGTACATTAGTTTTTTGTCGTCCTTTGACCTGATGATAGAAGTAGAACCAACTTCCGATTAACAAAGTCTAAAAGACCTATGTATCACACCATCGTCATAAACCTTCAAACTTCAGTTCAAAGCACATTTATCCGGTCTGTTCTGAACTGCGTCTTCCCAATGCAGTGCAGCTACAAGTACAGCACAGTTCGTAGACATCTGTTATGCACTTCCTGCATGAAATTAAAAACACTGGGACATAGTATCTGTCCGTCTGTGCGGCTAATGATAAGCATGTTTCACGTCTAAAAATACTCAGCGAACTGAGATTAAAATGTATGTGCTGTAAGTTGACTGGTTAATTTAATCCTGTCTATATCAGTCCAATACACGCTCAGGTTCACACGTAGCTCAAGTTAAAATTGATTAATTACCTTACAAACACTCGTCCAATTGACACATAATATACAACTGAACGTAGCACTCAAATGGTTAGCAATCAGCCTTAGTATTCGGGAGATGTTGGGTTTAAATCTCGGCTCAGAACTACTGACACCGTCGTTAAATAAATGAAACATGTAAGATATTTATTGTTATTGGAAACGACTTTCGGCAGGGTTAGCATTAATTTGCATGCAGTGTCACATCTGTTGATTAGGTCAGTCAACAACACACTTTTATCTGGAATAAAGTAGCTTCAATGCCAGGTACGTAAGCAGAATACCAAAGAACGCATGTGAAAACTAAGTACTGCAATCATCGCTGAGATTCTTCTTAATATAACCTTACGTCTCCTGTTTCGTCTTCCAACAACATTCCAATAATTTCTCAGGTAGCTGATATTTTCAAAAACAACGAAATTAAAATTTTGCAAACTTTAATTTCAGATTTTTGCAGCAATTTCTGCAGGGTCTTTCCACGTCGTAGTAGGATTCTCCCTCGCATATTCCGCCATCTTAATCCCACAACTAGAAGCGCCCGATAGTGACCTTGAAATCGACAAAGAAAATACACCATGGTTAGGTGAGTAGTCCTACACATTCTTTCAAGAATGGCTTATTGCAACAGTATTTAGTATTTGCATGAATTCCACGTTGATTTGCTGTGGTCAGTGAACGGGTTAAGGAACATACGGCTTCTTTCATTCAGTTTCCAAAATCACAGCACAAACTTCAGCTTCAAACATTATCTGTAGTTTAACAATTTTTTATATTTCTTGTCCTTGCCGTAAAAATTTAAAGTATAGAAAAGTTTAATTAATTTTAAACCCGTCTTCCATCATACAAAATTAAAATCTTTCATTTACAAAATTGTTGCAGAAGTCTCAAAATATCATGGTTTTCTTCAGTATCTCGAGCCAAATTCCGGACAGTACATTAAATTAGGCCACGATCGCTTCCTTCCATATCCTATCCAATTCATCCTATTATTCGACGCCAAAAAGTCTGAGGTACTAACTGCTCCGTTAAATAAACTACAAATAAATAAAGAAACTTTGCGTTAAAATTGTTGCAGCCAGCGTGCTGGTGTTGGTGGTTCCAGTCGGAGCCATATTGGCTGGTTTCATCATGGAGTATGCGGGCCGATTAAACACGATCAAGATAGCGGCAGTGCCTTGCCTCATCGGATGGTGCCTCATTGCCATAGGAAGCAACTTTACCACAGTTCTCTGCGGCAGACTTCTGACAGGAGTCGCGGCAGGTAACAACACATAGGTTATATGATCTGAAGCCTTCACGGCGATTAAGTGTAATGAATTTTTCTTGGGCTACTGAAGTTCAGTACCCTGGGGACGAGGACGAAGATTATAAGCCCGAGAAGCATTCATTAAACAAACAGGATAAACTGCCAGGAATTATGCGCCAAGTCATTGTACAACTTTGTTTCTGTTATGTCCATAATTTTCAGCCACTGAACTGTCTCGCATTGCGTAGCACAGATAAGATAATACAGTTGTAAAATTTCAGGTTCTCACGGTGATGAGCATGACAATGGCTGTCTTTTGGATTGCAGCGGCATGTAGTCTGATAGTTTACCTATGTTTCAGAGGTGCTTCTCACCTCCATCATCAGGGCGATAGTCCTAAACTCAGGAGACGGTCATCTTCAAGACAGTAGCCTACAGTTACTACAACACGTCTAACCCGACACGTTTACATACATGGGGTATAGGGTACTGAAACCGAACCTACGTTGACAGTTACAAAAATGGGCGATGGCATGTGAAACAATTTAAGTTGCCTGAAATTTCCCGTCGGTGTATGACGGTAATTAAATAAATGGCTGACTTTTGTGAGTGAGACTTTTGCGGGGAGGGGTAATCTAACATTAAACACACAATTTGGAGGCTGAAAGGGAAAATAATAACGATAGATGTATAAATACAACGCTAACGTCGATAAGCGGGCCGCTAGTTGATAAATAAACTGGCCTCGCTCTTCCCCAACCTGTTCTCTACCACAGCCCTCAACCTTCAACCTATGGTGTGGGAAGTTTGTTGGTTTCCACCACAGCAAGCGGAGACAGAAGTCTTGCTTGTTAACATGTGGGAAAACAAATCGATACCGACCAATTAGGCTAATTAGTTTGGAAAGCTTAAGCGAATAAAGGTGATAATTCGACAAACATCACTCATCATGAAAAATGCTATTTTAAAGCTGACAGACCAACTAAATGTTCTGATTGGATGACATATGGGGCTAAATATGCATATAAATTGTTAAATGGATATTTTTGGAAGGGTGGAGTCTTCATAACTAAGGAAGACTGGAAACATCCCAGAATTTGCCGGAAGAGACTGAGGGAAGACATAAAAAATCACAGTCCATAAAACCGGTCTGTGGGCCGAGATTTGAACCCAGGTTCTCCCGAATACGAAGCTGGAGTGCTGATAAATTTGCTCCGATGTTCAATAGGTTTGCGTCAAAAGCGAAGTTTGCTTAAATATTATTGAATCCTTTGGTTAAAAAGACTAACCAAGAGAATCGGGCTGTGAATTGAGCGGTCTATCAGCTGACTAATATTTCATTCGTTAGCTCGTTGGCTGTTTAATTAGTATGACAATTTGTTGAACGATCAGCCACATAACTGGATGGGTAGATGATTATCTCGTTACTTTGTTAGTAAGTTAGTTATTTGGGTCTATGACGTTTGTGTTATTCATTTCTCAATGCCTTCGAGTAGCGGCAACTTCTCTGACGTTGTTGTAACGCGTATAGTATAACTCAATGTTTGCGGGCGTTCACTTTTGTTGCTTCCTCATGGTCTATGCGAGTCCTCCCATGCAAACAGAAAACCAGTCAGTCTGAAGAGCTAGAGATCCCTGCCTGGTGCTTGTTCTTGTGACGTGGAAGTTCTAACGATGCTTTATGTTTCCCAACAGGAATGGGAACGAGTCCAGCTATTGTGTACATCACTGAAGTGGCGAAGCCGGAACTACGAGGCGCGCTTATTGCTACCTGCCCTACACTTGCGTCTTTTGGTAAGGTCATGATGTTCTGACTGAATGACTGACGAAATTACAATGGGCCCAACTGAGGCTGCCGTTTCAAAATACAGAGTATCGCCGCACTCGTAGTAAAACAAAAACAGCATCGTGTAGCATTTTTTTAACTTAGTTTTCGTGGTCAAAAAATTCTTAAAGAGCAACCTTATGCTCATCATAGTGTTAAAAAGTGCCCTTAGATCTTACCCAGAAATCAATTAAATTTAGTCCACAAATTACATCATATTTCTTCTAACTCAATTTTAATATTATCCTCTCATCTAGGCCTAAAATATCCCGAATAAGAGACCAGGTTTCACAACAATATGAGACAACAGTTAAATTAATATTTGGTTCTTTCCAAATACAAGACGGAAATATTTACGACTCCCGACTTAATTGTAGCGAGTATTAATATTTCCCGAATTTAATATGATCTAATTTCATCCTATATCAGTTTTATGTGTTATCATTCTTCTCAAGTATTTTAAATCCGCCATATTTTCAAAGGATTAATTATTTACCCTTATGTTATTATTCTATTGTGTATTCTGAGTTTTCTCAACATCTAAGTAGAACTTGAGATTCTTATGGCGGCGTGTCTGAAGATGGCTGTCTTCAGGGTTGTAGCGCCGCGTAGTCTGGTATAAGTTTCAGAGTTCCTTGTTGCGTCCATGATCAGGGCGACAAGTAAGTCATCATGGTAAACTTCTATCAAACTACACGGCGCTACAACCCAGAAGACAGCCACCCGTCTCAACATCTGTTTATAATATAAACTTACATCTTCTTTGTTCTTCGTGGCACTACTGGGCACTGATTCCGTCTTTAATCAGGTATGATGCTAAGTTACCTCAAGGGAGCGTACCTCACGTGGCGGACTGCGGCTTGGACAAGTGTCATATACGTGCTGATTCCATTGTTACTCATAACAATCTGGATACCAGAGAGTCCTGTGTGGCTTGTGGCACGAGGGAGAGTCGACGAGGCCGAAAATTCTCTGAAGTGGCTCGCTGGAGAGAAGGTGAGGACCTCTTTCAGGCCAGCAGAGGTGAAGAGATCGCGGGATAGAGAACCTGGCGAAAAATATTGTACGCATAACAACGCGTTATTGTAGTTCACAGTTCTTTTACATCCGTATCCATGAGCGCTTCTTTCCTGCTACATAACACTTTACACAATTTATACTTGCACCAAAAGACATATAGTCAATAATGGGTTCGAACAGTACACCTTAAACTCTGACACGTTGGTCCAAATTAGCAGGAGTCCCAATCGGCTTTCTTATATAGAGCGTAACAATAAATATGTGGTAGGGAAGGCGTTCTAGGAACCTCAGGTCTAATACTGTGGCCAAAATATATATTATTGTATACTCCTTTTCTTGTGATTGCAATATTTTCTATACATAATAAAATAGAAAGTAAAACTGATAAGGAGCCGCACTTATTAATACCTGAACATGGATATTTCTGCTGGCCGTATTTTGCTAATCCTGTTGCACGTTCGCATGGTGATCACTGTACAATGTATTCCAGAGTTCGTTGCCTGAACAACAGCTGGCTGCATTGGTCAAGTCGCAAGACATGAAGGCACTGGTGACGTCTGGCTTCATGGGACGACTCGCAGGATTCGGGCGTCCTTCGGGATACAAGCCTCTCTTAGTGCTAACTGGACTCTTCTTTTTCCAACAATTCTCCGGCGTCTACACAACCCTCTTCTACTCCGTCGAACTCTTTAAGGTACTTGACGTGATGGATAAAATTTCTAACAGGCTTTGAGTGCTCTATACTGTGGTTTAGAGTCCCACACAGAACGCTCAGGCTAGGATACAACCCCTCCTCGACTGTCTGCGAAGGATTATTCAGCGGATTCTCAGATCCTCGTAGGAAGAGTCCACCTAGGTTCCTAGACGTAAACGAAGACACGAGGATAATAACGAAAACCACCTTAAAATAATTAGCAATGGACATGAGAAGAGAAGTGGGTGGCTAAGTACGAGAATCAATGGCGGGATATTATGCTGACGGTGGTGATTTTGAGTCTGTTAATTAGATTTCCCCAGGTTCTGAATAACTTAACAGTTATTTCAAGGAATGCTCTGTACCATGGAATCATTTGATTGATTCTTAATTTAGCTAACGGTACTTTCTACAGTTGAATGTATTATACAGTGTTAAATGGCAGATTGACTGCGATCAGTTTAGGACTCAGGCAGTCGCATTGAGATCTGCAATGTGTGTGTAAAGCATCTTTCAGTTTGGTGCGCGACCCTACAGGAATTCCAAACAAAAACCAATTTACAGTTCTACGTACACAGTGTGATAATTGTAGGGCAGCAAGTACGACGATGGCTTTCTTCTGGGATGTAGGGCCGTGTAGTCTACCGACGTTTCAGACGTACTTGCTGCCTCCAGCGTTGGTAACCTTCTACCAGACTACACGGAGCTACAACCCAAAAGGTCGCAATCTTTGAACGTATAATCTTGCTAGCCTTGATGCATTTGAAGTAAGACGGGAGTCTCAAACCTTCCCGAACTTCCTGCTGCACCTTAACCCTTGTTCTGTGAGTAGGACGTCGGCAGTAGCATGGACCCCAGCATGGCTACGATTCTCGTCGGTCTCATGCGCCTCATCATGAGTTTCTTCAACACGGCTCTTCTGCGGCGCTTCGGTCGCCGGCCCCTCTGCATGATCAGTGCCTGCGGAATGGCCGTGTGTTTGATCGTGTCGGGGTGGACCACGTGGTACATTCTTGATGGTAGGTAACCACAGACTCTGAACTGACTGACTGACTGACCGACTGACTCTTTCACTAAGGCACTGGAAAATTATGTCTGACCAACCGACAAAGACACTGACTCCACACGTGGGTAACTAACTCATTTGGCCTAGCAGCTAAACAACCAACTCAATGTCTAATACACTGACACAGCTAAGTAAGTAAATAAGTAGCAATCTCATTTTCGATGTCCGTGACTGAACAAGTAACTAAGTACGTAACTCAATGACTGCTTAGCTAGGCCGCTTGCCTAATTAAGTAGCCAACTCAATAATTACCTGACTAACACAATGACTGGTTAACTGCTAGTTACTTATAAACTGGGTAGCCTACGGACTGATTAACTGATTGGCCAGAAACTAATTAAGCGTCTCTCTCGTAGGAGAACCCGAATTTTGAAAACCGCCATTACAGAATTCTGCCACGGGTCACGATCCTTCATTACTTCAAGCAAGTACTACCTACGCCACTAACAAAATTAGGTGTCATAATGGACTGATATTAACAGTTAAATCTGCATCAAAACGTTGAGTGTCGACGTCCACATTTAACCGAAATCTGTTCAGTAGTTTTCCAGATATCTTAACTAAACTGACGATGACTATTAGGTTTATCTGGCATGGGCAAGGGACAATGGCGAAGTACAGTTAATACGATAATGTGCTTTCAAGCTCCATATAAGCGGGTAATTTCTTAACTATTAGCTTTTCTCAAGAACTCTGAAGTTAAGGTTCAGACGTGCAGACGTCCAGAGTTGTCATCTGTTCTTCATATGCATGTAACAGGAAACCTAGTTAATCGAAGGCAGGAAGTCGTCTGTTTACACACAGCTTCCTCTTCCACTCAGGTGGCGATGGGATTAGCTGGCTCCCTGTTGTCTGCGTCCTGTTGTATGTCTGCTCCAGCATGATCGGACTCCTCAGCATCCCCTGGACCATGACGGCCGAGCTCTTCCCAACGGAAATCCGTGGCTTAGCACACGGAGTTACCATCTCCATTGCACACATCCTGATGTTCGTCTCCATCCAGTGCTACCGCGACGTCAGAGATCTGCTTGGAGGCGCCCACGCCTTGCAGTGGTTTTTTGCAGCCGTGGCCCTCGGAGGAGTTGTCTTCATTTATGTATTTCTACCGGAAACACACGGCAAAACACTGGCAGAGATTGAAGAGTACTTCAAAGAAAATACGATTTATATCCGCAGAAAGAAGCCTGTTCAGCGGACAGAGAATGGAGCGCCGTCTGGTGAAATGGTGATGATCACTTCAAAAGCCTAAAGTATAACCTCAGGAAAACATCTCATTTTCTGAGTTACATTAAAATGGCCGAACCTTCTCAGTGTTTGAATGGTCAGTGTCACACTTTAAATTATATGTTTTTTTTTAAAAAAAAAATCAGAGTATCTCGGGAGTGAGTCGTCAGATTTCGGGATATTTTAACTCAAATGGTTTTCAACAAAAAATGTTTCTTAAATACATGCCCCATTCACAACGGCCGCAGAGTTATGGATATTCAAAGTTACATAGTAAGGGGGGTAATTAGTTGAAACATTTATTGTAAAAGCTGCTGTTAAATTTATACATAGTAAAAGTTGAAGGTCGTAATTTGTTGCATTGTAAGTACACTACATATTCCCTGTCCGGCAATCGTCACCATCGACATTCAAGAGCAGCTATTCAGTACACATAAATGAAGTGAACGGGTGCATATTTATTTAAAATATACATTATTTGCAGTGCTCTTCGAAAGTAGCGCACGACAAGTATTCGTGTCTCACTTGCCTGAATAAGTCACTAACGCTACAAACTGTTCATGCCACCACTTCCGATATGACAATCTTCTTACCACCAACATTTTGTCAATGTGCAGGCTTAATTTTGAATATTCATAACTGCGTTGCCTAACGGTAAAAAATGGGACACGTGTTAGAACACGACACACTGTTCAATATCGGTGGGATCTGCCCATTTCTTTCGCATAAATTTTGATCATAAACTTACACCGCCAATCTTAAACTGAGTATGCAAGTTTATCTGACACCTGAGCGCTGTAATGGGTTCCACTCACTTCTCGCAAGTTTGTGGAACTGTGTCGCTGATAGAGTTAACAAACACCGAGAAGGGAACGAATTTCTAGCTTCGTCTTCTGCCTAAGTTAAAGTGAGGAGACTGTTTGATGTGAAAAATGTCCCTTACTATCTTAAATGTTCTCTCATTCATTATTGCTTTCATAGACTGCGGGTATTACGGCAGATATTTGTTGTACAGGAGCTGGCATATGTATGTGTTTGTACAACTTACCAGTATTGGAAGCCGTTCATAAGTATTGTTATATTAAGAGTTACTAGCCGTTACTTAAGGACTATAGTATAAGAATGCGTTTAGATTTTATAATACTCTTCCCAGTCATTCTTCACACAATCAGGACTGAGATTTTGCTACAAAACGAAAAAATCATTAACAAGCAATGACGTAACTTTGGAAACTCGCTACTTTAAAAACTATTAGGCTAATGCGTGAACAACCAAAATTATTAATATGAATAAACTGCAAAACACATATAAACCGCAAATCGTACTTACTATATTTTGGTTGTTATTCTATCATTATTTTGACTTACAGGTATTTATTGCGCACGAGCTAATTCAAAGTTCAAGAAGATTGCATTATAGTGCTCAAATGCGAATTGCGAGCTGTACTGTACTGGACTGGGTCCACCGACAATTTATTTTTATTATTATTTTTTTTATTTTGTGTATTATATCTTCGGATTCATTAGCAGGGAGTAATTTATCAATAATTGTTTTCTGATTTAAGGCACTGTTCTTAGATTTATCTGTGGACTGACATGACAAGTACCTATAATCCAAACAAATAGTAAACTAATGGAACTCGGGCTATGCGTTATGAGACAAAGCCAGCGGTATTTAATTCTGACCACCGCGAGTTCAACTAGAAGCTTTACGCTGTTCTCTGATAGGACAGGCATCTCAGCGGTTTTATTTGCAGTCGGGTTAGTCTTTAGTGTGGTTCTGCGCACTTTTCGCCTTTGTTTACATTAATATGAAATATAAATTATATTTAATGTATATAAAATTGTATCTCTCGAAATAGAACAATATATTTATTTTTCATAAATTATTTCAAAATGAATATGAAGTGGTTACGTTTATAATTTGTTCAGAATCAAGTAGTTTTGTCTTGTTTTTGGAAATAAATCATTTAAAAGTCTGAAGTAAAAGTGGTCGCAGAAAACGTAAAATGTTTTTTTCTATGAATCTCACTTGATATTGAATTGTTTTGTGAGGAAAGGAAAACGAAAAAATGAGAGCAAAAATTCAGAGAAAAGTAGAGCAATGCATGACCAGGTTTGACTATGATCTAATTCAAGTGTTATTAGGGTTATAACATGTCTCACTGCCCAAAATACTAATGATAAATTCTGATACACATTCTTTTAAATACAGAATAAGAATTAAACAATTACAGCAGTCCTCTAAAATATGCATCTAACTAATTTGTTTAAACTTACGTAAAATAATAAGCTTTAGACACTGAATTCTTTCACTGTTGCAAAACATATCTGTTACTGATTAACGCGGCTACGACAGCTTAAATATACAAGCTTCGTCACCACCATGACAGCGGCTTCAGACACAACCATTATAATTTTTTTAATGAGGTATATAATCCTGTGCTTACATCGCCTGAAGAAAAGATATATTCAGATCTTTGCAGACATAAAAGTTACTGCTTGAGAGCCATTTTTAAAGAAATGAACAGGTTTCATTGTACAGATTTCTTTTAAATGTTCACTTTAAAACTATAAATTTAATGCAAGATAAGATCGTGGCCTTTGAATGAGAAAGTGAGTGATGAAACTCAATCTCAAAATGGAAATTGTAAGCCAGGGAAAATACCAGAATTAATATAGTATTACCCATGTTGAAGCCCAAATTTTCTCTAGATTTGTGTAATAAATTAGAGAAAACAATTTTATAATCATATTTTTGAAATCGACATCTGTTAAGACACGGTACTTATTTTCGATACTTAAGAAAATGTTGCAGTTGTCTATTTATATGTACGTAATTTACAATGCGACATATATTTGTGTACAAAATATGTCGTGCCTTATTTACTTTAAGAGCACGGTTAGAACGTAACAAAGCTAAAGGACACGTTTAAACAAACTCAACATAAAATTAACAAATTTCACGTTTATGTGGAGTGATCTGTGATTGTGTGATACATGTTTGTAATAATGTAAACTGTGATGACTAATAAACAATGCTGGTGTTCCCTATTCCTGTTATTCCGACATATTTCCGCTTTCCCTGAATATATTTCTTCGTGTCCTACAGCGACTGATTTTGGTCACATCTTTGTATGTGTGTAAGTCTACTAGATTGCGTGTCAAGTGGGGTGTTTCGTGGTTCCCGTCTACCTGTGGCTCATTCATACGTCTTTTCCCTGCTCTTTAAAAACGACCTCCTTTTGTTGTCATGTCAACGCGGAAAAATCGCGGTAACCTTTTACTGCTGATAATGTAAAGAGCGTAGGGTCGTAACGGCTCATGCTAGGAAAAAAGTTAACACCGTTTAAGATTGCAAACACACGATTAGCAACAACGTTTCCGTCTTTAAATTTGTTATGTGTTATGCCTGGGATAATGGGACTTCCTGGCTATACCTATACAGATAACCCACAACACTGTACAGCCAGAGAAGTTGCCGGACTGCCAGGCGCCAGTTCCCCGAACCCTGACAAGATTAAAGAACGGTATTAGAATACGCTACCAAAAGAAGGAAAGACTGAAAGTCGATGGTCTCAAATAAAAACCTGAATATTCTGATTAGAGTCGAAATGTTATGTCAAAACATAAACATGCTGAAGAACAGCGAAAGAACTCCTTAATAAGTTAATAAAAACACTGATGTAGGAATTAACGCAAATGAATGTGTCACGATATTAAATATATAACTGCTTTACTACGAACGATGGGTATTAACAATTTTAAAACGTGGGGAACGTCAATGACAAATGAAATAAGGTTTGCGACTCATTTATAAGAAAATGACTTTAAAGACTTAATCTTTCAAGGCGATCAAATACTAACGCTCCAGGATGACAGCGCCGAACGTTATATCCCATCTCCCATGCCGTTAATTTAAATGTACGAGGGTCGCTCATTAAGTAATGCCCCACATTTTTTTCCTCAGAATATATTTATTCAAGATGGCTCAAATTTAGTGACAATATAAATCAATGTTTCCTTTACACATACTATTTTTCCACATAGTCCCCATCAACTTGTACGGTTTTATGCCAGCGTGGAACAAGAGCATGCATGCCTTGCCGGTACCAGCTCTTGTCCTGTGCACGTAGCCATGTCCTCACTGCTTGAATAACGCTCTCGTCATCTTCAAACCTTGTTCCGCGGATAGCATCTTTAAGTGGCCCAAAGAGATGGAGTCGGAGGGTGGATGGGGCAGCACCGTTCAACCAAATTTGGTGATTTCTTCCCGGGTTCTCGGACTTGTGTAAGGGCGTGCATTGTCATGCAGGAGCAAAATTTCTGCTGGATGCTTGTGAGGCCGAACTCGTCGGAAACGCTTCTTGAGGGTTTCCAGGGTCATAATGTACGCGTCTGAATTGATGGTCGCACCTCTTGGCATCACATCCACAAGAATGACCCCATCACTGTCCCAAAAGACAGTCATCATGACTTTTCAGGCGGAGGGAGTTGACTTGAATTTCTTCTTTCTCGGTGATAGGGGATGATGCCACTCCATTGACTGCCTTTTTGTCTCCGGCTCAAAGTGGTGTATCCAGGTTTCGTCACCTGTAATGATCCGGGACAGAAAGACCTCTCCCTCAGCATCAAAACGCTCCAAAAATTCAGAAGAAATCATTTTCCTTTGAATCCTGTGGTCTGCTGTGAGACTTCGTGGAACCCATCTTGCGCACACCTTCGAATATGCAAGAGCCCGGATAATTGCAATTACACTTCCATTGCTGACTGAAAGCACGGAAGTTGCATATGGCAGATCAGATGTTTGGAAGAAGAAGATGGCAATAATGATGATGACAGTAATTGCAGTAAACTTGTCTTCGCGATGTGTGTGTTACTTTTTTTTCAGAATTGTCACCTTTACTCGGAACACCTGATGTGATCTGGATATGCCATTCTGGTCGCTGTGGTGTGACAGCAGATAGGTTGCGGTGTTTAAATATCAGTGTTGTAATGCAGTTTGGAATATGCAGGGTTCCTAATGACGTAGGATGTGGAAAGAGGCAACTCCATTCTGAATGAACCTGGTTTCATGCGGAATGTCACGGACATTGCACTTTGGAATTTCCTGGAAACTCGGCTATGCTGTCAGAGGAATTTTGCACTTATCTTCATCCAAGATTGTTTCCTTCCACACAAGAGACTGAGCTACTGTCGCAGTTTAAAATATAAGGTGACATTTTCATTGATCTGTCTTTTACACGAACATTTGTCATTTCAGAGTTGGTGACCGTGAAATAATGACTTTCTGTACAGACTGGATGCAGCGGCTTGTCACCGTTTAGATTCAGCTGTAATGAGTATTGCCCAGGTAAATGTTAGGTGGAGGGAGCCTTAACTGACACAACGAATCAGACGAAGCAGTTCTCATCAGACTGTGGATCTGAACTGGAATAATGCAGGAGCCACTTTGCAGTCACTCCGTCTTGAAAAACAAGACAGAAAATGAAGATTTACGTCTTCTGGGTTGTTGCGCTGTGTAGTCTGGTCGATGTTAACCAACGTTTCAGAGGTCTTACTGCCTCCGTCATCAGGGCGATGAATAACTCCCAAAATGTCGGAATTCAGCTATATATATGGTACCACTGCCCAGAATGAGGTTCCACATTGAGATGTCATTATTCACCTTAAATAATTATTTTCTTAACTACTCTCCAAAATACTGAAGGCCTATATAAAATATTTATTTTACTCGATGTTTTGAAATGTTGGGGGCAGAATTTATTATTCTAGTTTAAGAGAAAAAATTACACGAAACTACATAAATTATTACAAGTGCATACTTCGATTTAATAAGGGTGAATTAGCTAAGAAACGGATATTACATAACGAAGAATTTCATGACGTCCCTGTTCTTACGACATACTAAGATGGATTGGAAGTAGATTTCAGGTGGGAGAGATTTTTCCTGAAAAAACGTACTGGAGGTAAGTTTAAATGATCTGATTTGATATATGACATCTCGTAGTAAAACAAGAAGGTTCAATATAACTAAAATAAAGCAGTCCAATCTAATATGAATTAACAAATCATATTTTCTTAGATCCATTTTAATATGTTACTTACAACTCTGTCTTAAAAGTGGTCGACATACAATATATTTACTTTATTAAATTCTATAATACGAGAAGAGTACTATACGGCATATTCTTTGAGCAACAGACGGTTGTTCAAATGGTCCATAAGTTCCGTGTCATGAAATCCTACCGTTCGACACAGCTAAACAAAGGCGTGCGTCGAGAGCTAGTCTAATCCATTTCACATCCAAATCCCCCTCCCAGGTTGAGTGAACAGTTTGGTTAGAGCGTTAGATCTAGACTTATATTCGAGAGGGGGCCGTTCGAGTCTCGGTCGGGTTACTGGAAATTCTGACCCAGGTTCCCTTTGTTATTCCTCATATCTCCAGAGAAGAGCTGAAATAATAATTCAGACATACGAATATCATCCCCTTCCGGTCTTTATCTATTCATCATTCATAATCGCATTCCCAGCTCAGTCGAAGCAAAATGGCGTCTGCAATTAAAAAAGAATCACCTAACAGCCAATAGACTAATATCCCAAGTTGTCTCGACCCGTAAAAATTTGCAGCTCTAATTTCACCATTTAAAAAATTAATTTTTTCACTTATGCGTAAGATAAAATTATTATATTTCCATTACTCCATCGCCAGAACTTTGTTCGTAACAACAAAAAGTTACAAAAGATGGTGACTGGTTTTGGTTTTTGTCGTCCCGTGTTTTATTACATCACTGAAAGTTCTTGATGACGCTGTGAATTAGTTTTCGCGAGCTACTCAACTAAGTGACAGCAGTCTAAATAATTGTGTCTATTATATCACAAGCAAGAAATAAAAACTAGGACGAAAACGCTTCCTGTTTATACAACCTGTAATCAGGTCGGCCATGCATAACCATGGCCAACTGCACAATGTCAAGTTCACATGTCTCTCAGGACTGTAATTTCAGCACATTAGCCTCATCCTGTGTTTCACAAGGACGAGATTTTACGGGTACCTTCCTGGCAGCTACGTGGTTCAAATTTCTAAATTAAGATTTCAATCATTTTGCATAATATAAACGCACAACTGAGACGTCGTGTTGTGGACTGCGTTTGTCTACACGTTTATCCCCAAAATTACTGAAAGAACTCAATTATTCTGAGTCTACAGTAAACGTTGTAG